CGTCTCTCCGGTCAGAGGTAAACGTCCTAACCATTGAGCTACGAGCCCGCAGTCTTGCCGATATTATGTTTACAAACATGAGCATTTATGATGTTATGCAAAAAATATCCAACTGAAAAAAAAAAGGCAACAATGGCCCGTGGAGTGGTAACCTGAGTTAACCGATTTTATCCCGCCTGATTGGTTTATATTCGACTGTCTGAAATAGGGGGTTTACAAGAATGGACTCAGAACCGAGGAGCAGTGAGAACAGGTTATCACCCAAAGGTGTAGTCTAAGTTCTACATTGCGTTCCGCAGTCTTAGTTGCAGGGGATTTTTGCTTGTAAACGGAACCATGGACACACACGTGTGTGCGTGTTTGTGTATGCAGATGAAAGTTCCGTGCGTGTTCTCAACTCATAGGTGAGAATAATGTCGTTTATGGGAAAATAAGGTTGCCTATAGGTCCCCTTAAACAACGTACATTTTAAAAACTCGCCTACTTTTACTATTGCATAAGGCAGGACCGATTTCAGTGAAGCAACAAAGAACGTGCATCACTACCATGGCAAGAGGCCGCATACTTCGAAAACTTTCTCGTCCACGACTGCCTCATTAAAATATGTTGTAGTCTTATTAACAGAGCTAATCAGTATTTTTTGCCATTTTGATACCTGTCTGAAAAAAGCGCGTACCTTATTGCTGTTTCCTTAGCTTCCTTTTTGCTGTATTTTTATGGTTTTTTAGCAATAGTGAGGAACTTTGTTAAAAGTCGTAAAATTCACGACACACTACGCTCTCATGGAACGAAAACAACAGCTAAATTTTTCAACCGAAAGTCTTTTCCGGTTGGTCAAACAAAGAAGGGAGGAGCCGGATCTGACAGATGAAGCAAACGCCCGCGTTGTTGACTTTTTTTTTTTAGAAAACCGGACTTCTATTTTTATGGTTGCTTTGCGAAATTAACTTTACTCATAACAAACCCTTTGGTCGGGTTAACGTTTTTTAATTAGCTAGTGCTCAGCGCACCTGGAGGTTATAAATGTAGGGCAACTAGGAGAGATTTTGAGTTGAAATCGAGTCACTAAATTTGCATTGTATCGGCAAGTAAGGATATTCCTGCCTTTCCTACTCTGGCTAGAATTTCGCTTGTACAGACCCATGGGAAGTGGTTACGTGGCCTTAAACCCATAAACTAGCTCTCGACCTTGTACCGATTGCACCCAGAGGTACAGCCTTCAGTGGAAAGGGGGAAGGGGCCAGTGAATAAAGTTAAAATCCCTTCCAGTACTCCGCCAAGGAGGAAATAACACAAATTCATGGGCATGTCAGGCGGAAATGAACAGACTGGTAGGTTGCCGGGCCATTCCGCAACGGACTGCAATGGCCTACCGGCGCTGAAAACCTCTTTAGGAGTTAGAAGCAATTGGTCAGGCTGAATGATATAACCGTGGCGGGAAGAGGTTTAAAGCCTACCTAGACTGTTCCAGTTGGAGGAGGAAAACATTCTCCCCTTTGGGGGACGCTTATATATTGCGTGCACTTTCGGCAAAGTTGGGGTAACACACCTGGAAGTCAGTAGATCAATTTTTCTGAAATTATTTCAAAGGAAAAGAGGGCGAAATCGTTGAGAAGCCAAACCAACTGGCTGTCAACATAACAGACTAAGTAGTATATGTAATTTGGCGCAAGACGTGAAGGCTCGATAAGATTTTATTCGGCATCCAGCCTCTCACTAAAATTCCGGAAGCGGATTGCTTACGTGAGAGCGACGCCCTGACTAACCGAAGTCCTCACGAATGCGTAATGCAGTAGCGTAAAATCGTGGAAACAGAAATTTGGATTTCCATTAATTATCTGCACTTGGAGTATGGTGAGAGTGGTTTGTAAACGAGAACTGCTCTGCTGATAAATCTGCAGGTGGG